TGATGAAAAATGGACGGATCAAAAGCATCGGCTGAATTGCAGCAAAGCCTCATGTTAAAAGCTTTTGGGTCTCAGTTTGAATGACAAATTATAGTGGTCACAACATACCGATGAACTCTCTAGAACTATATCTAGTTAAATATTTTAGATACGAAGACTTCGATCCTACATAAACCATGACACCCTTAAAATTTGTTATTTTGCACTCCTCCATTCAAAAAGTTCTTATGCAATGGGGACACAGTATGGCAGCACAGACCATTTTTTGATTGCAAAAGAGAGCAGTTAGGGTTATGTGTGGTGTGCATTATCGTGCCCACTGCAGGCCCATCTTTCTAAGACACAGAATTATGCCCTTGCCGTACACGTTTATTTATTTTACTGGAATAGAAATTCATCATAAAAAATCAGATTTGCCATCCACCAGTAAAAACCACTCTTATAATTTAAGATTTGATCACTATCCCGCTACACAAGTTGACGAAATCTGTTTCTAATTCCTTGAATTACGCTCTGTATAATAAACTGCCTACATCTATCAAAATGCTCTCCAAAAAAAAATTAAAACAACAATGAAAGAATACCTGTCTGGTCATTGTTTTTATTCCGTTCAAGAATACCTTGATAGCAATTTTTGTATTCGACGAAAAAGGAATTAAACGTACTTTATGAAATGTATATTACCTCCTTTAGTGTTTTTATTCTTGTCTTTGTTGTATTTAAAATGTATTGTTATTCATATTTGTTGTTATATTGTAAAGTAGTATTTATATTTAATTGTTTTACTTTTTATACTTAAACTGTATTTTTAACATTGTACAATATTATTATTCTGACCTGCTATAATGTACTTTGTACAAAGATAGTTAACAATAAATCTATCTATCTATCTATAATATTCAAATAGTTCAAGCTCTATCGAATTCTATGAGATCTGAACGAAATTTACAAGGGTCCATATACTCAGGTAAAATAAGAGAATTGTACTTATATACATTCATTTTTTGACCAGCGCTGCTTACTGTTCCTAAATCTAAATTATTCGAATTTACACGAACAACTTTAGTATTGAGTACGATATCCGTAATTTGTTACCGTAACGCGATAGATCATTTCATATTCTTATCAGGTAAACACATAAACAACATCAATGAAAAACAATGTGGACTCTGGTAAGTGGTAAATCAGTCCTTGGAAATGATAACATAGAACAATAAAACAAGCAAGTAATCAAAGCCGGTCCAATTAATGAGACAAAAAAAATTGTATGGTGGTTGATGCTTTTTTAAAAAAAATTTGTAATTTTTTGCTTTAACACTGATGAACAAAAGTATAATGTAAACAATGATTATTATATGTATTCCCATTATTTTTAGCATAAATAATTTTTATTAATTAAGAAAAAATTGTTTTTGACTATTTTTTGTGAATATTAAACAATACTTTCAAATATGTTCCAATGTTAAAACGGGGGATAACTTTGGTTAGTTTACTATTTATATTAATACTAGTTAATAATAGGTTATACACCGTGATGATAATTTCCAAAATAATTAGATTTTTGAAAAAAAATTGGTATCTAAATTTGTCCTTAACATAGCTCTTACTTAGCTGTAGAGGGCGTTACCTATATGATTTTTTTAATTAATAATTTTTAATTGACATATTGTCAATTGATGTAATGTACCGTTGCTGTGTATCACGATATACCGCGGAAGAAATCAACAGGCAGGAAATCATCGATCAAAATAGGATCAAAAAGTGTTGGTGTATATAAAACGCGCAGTATATAAACAAAACAGGAGTAAGGAGTGTGTGAAATTTACGGCTGGAAATTATTTTAATGTTTGTTTATACCGATTGTAGTATCCATTTACCAAGCCGGTCTGTCACGGAAAAGTTCAGATTAACTACTCAAAATTTTCCGTTATTAATCGAACGCTTATATCTTATATATGGCGCTAAAAGTCGGACAAAATTGTTCCAATAAAATCCAGGAAATTTTTCCGGTTTGGTTTGATTCAGATTTGCTTGATGTTCAAGCGGATTACATCATAATAAAATACATCGTAAAATTTGCAATAACGAGCTGCACTCAATGTAATTAACGTTTTAGAGGTCGTCGGTATAAAAATGTATATTATGTTCGAAGCGGAAATGTCTTTCAACGCCTGAAAATTGCTATTATAAACCTCACCCTTATATGTTTCGCGCCAACGACCGACCAAAAAATTTCCAAGGTCTGTGTACTTTATAGACAATAGTAACCCGTGAGTGCTTAAACAATTACTCGAAGATATCCCGTAGTAAATACTTGAAATTTGTAAATATTATTCCGATTGTTGCTATGGGCATAATTTTTTTATCATTCTAACGCAACCTAGCGGAATGCAACAACACTCGAGGCGCCAAAGATACCAAGATTCAGTAATACTACATGTTATGCTTAGAACTTGGAGCTTCTTTGACTAAATTTCGCAGTTCATATGAAGACTTGTTACTTTCGAAAAATCGATGAAATCGATTCTTTTCCTCACTAATCTCGAGATCTCGGTAACGGTAGGTCCTACGGGATTTTTTTTTGTCTATCCAACCTCCGTTTCTCCGTTCTCTTTTTAACTGTCCATGGGATGCATCTTTTTTTTTCGATTTTCGCCAGTTTTCTGGGCATTGCTATGAAACACGACAAGTGTCCGAAATTTAAAGCTATCGACTTCAATTTTGGCAGCTTCCAAGAAAAAAATCATTTCATCATTTCAAAAATTCTTGAATGTGAAGACACATAAGATTTGGCTCCATAAAATTTTATTTCTGAAAGCTTTTCATAAATGTACAGCGTGCGCGCAAATTCAAAAAAACGGAAAAATGGATCTCCCTATTATCGAAAATTTGCTATAACCGAAAGACTATGATAAAAGTCCGTTTTACATGGCGACATAGCCCGCATAAATAGCTAAAACTTTCTTATTTAAGGTTTATTTAAGGTTAAAAGTCCACATTTCATCTGTTGAAAAAGAACTTACTCAAATCTCGCAAAGCAGTTTTTTTTTTAATTTTTGAAAAATTTTTTTTGGTATATTTTAACTTCCAGAAAAACATTATTTTCTCGAAAACTATTAACTCGATCACCAAAATTTATGAACCAGGAAATGTAACAATTCGTGAAAAATATGGTCAATTCGTTTAAACAGTGTTATCCAAATGAAAATCACCATTTCTCGCCTTCAATCTAGACGCGATGACGTCATTTATTATTACCATGTACTTCATGATTTCAGAAAACAAGTATTTTCTTGAAAACCACTTACTCCATTAAAAAAAATGATATACCAGGAAACGTTGGAGATCCAGAGCTATAACCCCTATTTCGAACATTGTTTGAATCATATACAGTCTGTTGTTTATGGGCAAAAATATTAAAAACATCCTAAAAATTTCCGTTTTTGTTGGTAAATTATAGGGTAAAAATGAAAAACTGCTAAAAATCCGTTAATTTGATTTGAATGGTGTCGTAAACTGTGTTGAGAGAGAGTATCAGGTTTCGTCAATTATACAAGGCTCGCGCGATATTTGAAAAAATCAATCAATCGACAACGATATTATTTGTACAAATTTGAATATTTAACAAAGTTTCCTGTAACTTTAATGTTCGGAGAGGTTTGAAAGGCACTTTATACAGGATATATGCACAATAAAATTACATAGATTTTGCGAAAGTTTCATAGTGGTCAGCAGGAGCACGATAGAAAAACAATGTGTCCCTTTACCACGAGAAACCGCGAAGCTCTTTCTTTTTAAAATAAAAAGCCGCTTCGAGCTACGCGCTATGAACTTGCCCCGCCCAGCTACGATTTTTCGAAAGCAATCTTGTTATTGAATAGAAACCTAATATCTGTCTAAATTAAATAAATTGTTCTATGGCTATGTTCTCTTTTCTGTTCTGTGATATGCGATTTCGGACATTTGACAGCGGCAATTTTATAAAGTATTGCAATTCCGCAGATGTTGAGCTTTAATTTTTTTTAAGTTTACAAGCCGGTATATTAAACCGCAAGAAGAAAAAGCATTTAGGTTGATTCGTATAATTTTCAGATACATACAATTATTGTGTTTAACAAGATGTGTACTTCTGCTGCAAACCGCTAAACAAGCAGGAAAAAATGTTCGTTTTTATTATACGAATCAATCAGTTTAAAACATCACATGACAATTCAGAAAAAATATTCAACCTTTCAGTATTCTTGTAGCAAACAACTTGCTTGGTTTCAACTTTTATTTAAAAAATAGATCAATTACTTTTTATAATCATTAATTTATTTGAATTTTGCGTCAGAAACAGATGAACAATGAATTGTAAAAATCTCAAAATAAAATAATTTTTTGTACGTTTTTACAAGTTTTAAGTAATGCAAATACTGGGCGACATGTGCCCGACAGATTCATTCAAGCAGAACAACTATTTGAATATTTTCTTTTAAATTCCACTATTCTGTAAATTATTGGTTAGTGCTTAATTATCAACATTTTTAACACTTTATTTAAATAGATTTCGATCATGGTCAAACTGCAACCGGTTTCGATGAAAATCGGTAAAACTCTTTTCAACTTTTTCGCTATTAAAACCAATTTAAAAAGTTACAAAACTCTTTTTTTTTAGTTTGTTATATTTTAGTCGACGTCTTGAATGTGTTGTAACTGATTACAGATTTACAAGTCATGCAGGGCTTTTGTGCAATGTAAGAACTAGTGTCAGATAATCTATCTTTCATTTGTCAACTTTTTGGGACTCGTTGGCTTAAACTTATGATGAACCTCATATCGAACTATTGTTATTAATAAAAAATAATGACTTACTGATTCTTTTTTCAAAAATATACCTAATTTCCAGATCGTGCCCCTTATCGAACGAAAAATTTCTTGGGGTCGAATGAGAAATGTGATTCAAGGTCGGGTAGCAATTACTACAAGATTGTCGCTAAAGGTAAACGGCCACAACTTACTTATTGGATTTGGGCAGGAACATCTGTCTCTCGGGCTCTCCGGTAATTTCCCTATCAGCACCCATCATTAGGTCAGCACTTGAACAACAATCGACAGACTAACTGATTTACATTTGGTCGAGATGAAAACTGGCGAGAGAGCCGTAAATCTCCTTAAAGTTGTAAATTAGCCGTGAGACAAGGCAAATGGCAAATTGTTGCGCAAGTGTTAATTTTGTTTTAACAAGAGCGATCGAGGAAATTTACCCGAAAACTGTTGTTCGGGGAGTTAAAAATAGACGCGTTTGTCCCATGCGACCAGGAAGTAACATTCCCTATGATGCAAATGTTGCCCGTTGATGGTTATAGAAAAATTTGATAATAGTTTTTGGAAAGCTTCTTTAAACGGGAATTTCGTTATTTTATGGTTAACTTTGTGGCAGAGAGCTCCGATCTAACGAGAGGCGACATGAAGCGTTTGAAAGTGAGGGTTATAGACATTGAGAAATTTGTTTGCCAGCTATAAACCGGTCTATATTATATAAGGAAATTCATTTTTTTAATAAATTGCGAAACATTTTATATTTAGAATATTGTCGACAGTTTACTTAATTTTTTAATTTTTAAATTTTTTTAACACTTAAGTGTTATAAGTGTTATCAAAATACCCATGCCTAGTCTGAAAATGATTCCCGCCATAAGCAGACCAAGTTCCCGGCATAACTAAAATAATATTGTAGAAAAATAAAAATAAAATAAAAGATCACAATAAAAATGTGAGAAAAAATCTCTCTGTCTAATAAACCTGCCTCAACAACGTAAGATAACCTCTGGGACTACTACACAAACGTTCGGGTAGGAGTTTATTGACGTTTGCGCACAGAAAAATCGGTTGGCCACTGTCGCCTCTGGTTAAATTGAAACTCTTTGTTTTGTGGTTACCAACAATAATGAGCCATTGGGAAATACAAAGTTTTTAGTCGCGTTGAAACCATTATTTAGCGAAATGTGAGAAATTTTAGGTTCGTTTTTAAACTATAATTTTAAATTCTGTTGCAGTTGTTCAACGAGGTAGATTAATTTTCAAATTCAAATAATTGAATTTATGCTTTTTGAGGTCAATATTGATCTAGTAAGAAACTAGATTTTGAAAGATGTGGTGGTGGGTCTGAGCTACCAAGGTTGCCAAGAGACCTTCTGGAGTGCCTCTGGTCGTATTTAAACCAGCACGTCGTTTTGTGCAGTCGCAGTCACAGAGCAGCCTTTTTGGAATATCTCAACCAATAATAATAATAATAATAATAATACATTCATTGCTGTCCCAAGAATACATTTCAAATTACTTGTATAGTACGTAGCCAACAAAAGGCTTTCTTTTAAACAAAATTTTCATAAATCTGGAAGAACCAGATACTGTACAAGCCTGGTTTGTATCTATATAACCTACATAACAAAAATTCCTTAAATATAGGTTCAAGTCGCAGATAGTTCTCTAGGATACGATACACACAGCATAAATTGGAAATTGGATTCCTTGTATCTGTCACAGAAATAAAGGGCGGGAATGAATGGAAGAGGGGTATAAAAAACGCATCTGAATTATATCGCATCTGATAATTGAGATCCAAGTAGATATCTTTTGTACATTTGCTTAAATGTTTTTATTGACGCTGTTGTGTCAAAGAAGCTTATTAACTTTACCATATGCGTACGAAAAGACCATTTTGAATATTTCCTTTTGAAGTCGCGGCATCCTGAATCTGTAGTTTTGTCATAGATTTGATGTATGTACCTCCGTCCGAAGCGTAATTTTATCGAAAAGATACTCAGGGTATGGTCTGTTCATAGATATAAGAAAGTGACCAATTGCTTTTGAATGGGATTATCCAAGGGTGGTCATTAATATACAATACAACAAGATTATTACCTAAAGTTTCGGAATTTAAATTCAGGTAAAACTGTGGTCCGTAATAGAAATTAATTTTATACCTACCTCTGTTTAATATTCTTTGGTTTGGTATACTACTTAGTTTAAGTTTATTAGTAATCACTCTTATTTCGTGTATAATACAGAGTGTGTTCAATCGTGTGCGAATCATGTATCTCAGGGGATGCTCCCGCCCAAATGTAGAAAACACTATTCTATTGAGTCTAAGGAAGTTATAAACAATGTTTATTTGACTCTGATTGAACATGGTGCCAGCAAGCAAACATCTTTAGAAGAAACGGTCACATTAACGAAAATTCCAACATCAACTGTATGCAAAATTATGAATAATCCCATTTCAGCGAGGAAAAAAAGAAGCGATGCTGACATTCTCTCGACTGTAGATGAAAGTGATCAAGATATAATACGGTGTAAAATTTACCAGTTATACGAGGAACAAAGCGTGCCTACATTAGATATCTTAATGTGGAGGCTTGAAAAAGATGAAACCGGTGTTAAATGTGGCAGAAGTACCTTATAGGTTTTAGATTCGGAAATAACGACTGCAATATCTAGAAAAAAATAGGATTTACAGAGAACAACAAAATTAAATTATTTACTTGGATGAAACCTGGTTCGACACTTATGATACCCCGGAAAAGGGTTGGGTTGACTCAACTGATAAGTGTAAAACAAACGCGCCATCAAAAAGAATAACTATTTTGCATGTTGACTCTAAAGCTGGTTGGATTCCAAATGGACTTTCTCTGTCTGCGAAAAATATTAAAGGTTCTTCTCTGGATTACCATGAAGACACCACCGCTGATTTATTTGAACATTCCTCCTAGTAGCGTCATTATAAGGAACATGCAAGTTATCACAGTGGACAGTTGACTAAAACCCCTTCTTCAGGTGACACAAAAGCAACAATCCAAAACTACATGTATAATAATGACATTTATTTTCACGAAGGTTATACCAAAAAGCAATTAATTTAGGTTCTACAAAGCTTGAACCTACAAAAGGAATACGTCTGTGATAATTATGCAAAAAATCTAGGGCATACAGTTTTAAGGCTTCCTCCACCTTACCACCGAAATCTGCCATTCGTCGTAACAATGCTTTTCCCCGTGTTAACTCCAATGTCCTCAAACTTATAGAAACCGAAGTTTTTAACATCCCTCCACAAAGTTGGGCAAATTCTGTTAAACATATAGAAAAAGCAGAACGATCGAATATCCATATTGCAAATAATATAGAACAAATAATAATTAGAACAGGCGATGATAGCGATAGTGATACTGATATATTATGTGAATAATTTTAAGTAATTTAAGTAGGTAGCAAAAATAATTTGTAATTTTATTTTACATTTAAACATAAATACATACATAAATAAATAAATATTGTTTAGTATCTTTCCTAACAAAACCCCAAATAATTAAATTCTAAGCAAAGTCGGGACCTGTTCGGCCATATTTCATTCTTACAGCTTGGCCGGGTCTTTCCTTAATTCGTATCAGTTAGTCACTTTCTTATATCTATGAACAGACTTTACCTGTACTTAACTATTTTAAGATAAAATATGAAGCAGCCAGGTATGGAGAGATGTGACATCGTCGACGAATACCATATAAAAGCCGCAGAGAGGAATTTTGTAATTTTGAAACTTTGTTTTATTTGTGTTCTTATGTTATGTTGTTATGTTCTTTAGCATGCAATAAATTATTATATACAATTATTAAATTTGTTTTTCTTCTATCGCACACATGTACATAGAATAATCACGGCAGGTTTTTTCGGAGTTCGCCTGCTATGTATTTGGCAATCATGAGATTACTGTACCACATTGCAGACAAAGTAAGAAATACCAATAATTTCGGACTTTGCCTAGGCGAAGGTATGATTGCATAACGTATTTGCTGGTAACATTTCCTCAATGTCTTAAATCTTGTCAGCATCGTTTTATCATATATTATTTGTTTCCTTTTGATTATTATTATTATTATGATTTGAGAGTCGATCACGCTGTATATAGAGTTCCAACTGAAGGCAAACCGTTTTCGGGAGACCTTTCCTTTCTGTAAAATGTGCGTCGTGGAAAGTATTTGAACCCGAAGGTTGACGACATATATGAAGAAACTTTCGTCAGTTTGATCTCACGGCTGTTCACTACAAACCAGTTTAATCGATGCAGTGGCTACATTTTTTTTTTAAATAATGGAGCGTTAATAATAATCTAATCAAGCGGCAAATCAATTTGGAACGACAATATAAGCGTGAAATCGATTTGATCGATGAGATTTTTAACTAAAATTAACTAAAACTAAGTCCAACGGCAGCAACCATTTTAACATTGAAGAAGGAGACAATAATTATTTCAATAGCCTCATCGATGAATTACCTACATTTAAAAAACATTGTTTTTCCCCGGTCGGTATTATCCACTAAATTTCCGCGTTTTCAAGCAATCTATTCAATAAACTAATTCTACTAAATGTATGCCTTCTTCTATACCGGGTGACTCGATTTCTACCAAATATCAAAATAAATAAAACACAAAGTAGATTTCTCAAAGAAAGTTCCACAGGCTACTGTAATATTTTTTACAAAACTTCTGGATTCCTCCTGCGTCGATTTTTGCTTAGTCGAACAGTTTCAGTCAAGCTCCGAAGAAGCCAACAGGATGATTGGCGAAACGTCAGCAAGTTCGACTCAGCAAAAACCGACGCACGAGGAATCCAGAAGTTTTGTAAAAAATAAGTAGAATTTGTTTCCCTGGTATGTACAATAAAACGTACAGAGTGGCTTTTCATTCATTTATTCAATTGTAGAAACAATTTTTATGCATGTTAAAGTGTGTAAATGTCTAAAAACAAATTTTGACGTATGTCATGTGACGGGAAACTGAATAAACGTATATTAAAGACTGTTTAAAATTTTATTTTAACCTTGCTGTGCAGAATCAATTGGAAAATATTTTTCTGGTAAACATATTTTTCAAATATGTTTAATTTCATTTTGATACCGATTGTTTCAATCTCTCTTTCGTTTCACTGAAAAATACTGGGTCTAGTAAATTAATATCCATATTCATAGATGTTTTTGTATTTTTTGCCCTTTCTCTTTTATAGTACTATTTATTATTTTGATATTTGAAATTTTACGCTATTTGTC